CATCAGGAAGATGGTCTGGGGGAGAGGGGACGGCATCTTCCAGGCTACATAGATGCATTCGCAGGTGAACTCTCTTTTACTTGACTCAGAGTGTTGGGGCTGACCTTCAGAGCAAGCTGCTCTTGGGAGCACGTCTTCTCCTCGAGGGTTCGTGGGAACTTGGCACTTGCCTGTCAATGTATTGTGACGGTGATTTCCAGAACTGATCTGCTCTGGTTTGTGTTGAGGTTGTTCCTGCTTGTCTCCTTCTGTTTCACCAAGCTCATAAATGAGCCCCTTATTTGTGCTATACAGTAACTTGGCAGCTGAGGTGCTTCAGCTGCCAGAGCTCATCAGGAAAGAACCTGCATTGCGAGAGCAAGGGTGGTGCTGCAGAGGAAGGCAGAGCCCTTACTGGCAGGGCTGCCTGCCTCGGGCATGTACAGTGCTAGCCTGAGCCAAATATCATAAACTTCAGCGAGCACCAAACATGCAGTGCTTGCTAGGTGGAGGCAGTATAGGATCTGATGTGAGAGAGCAGAATTGCAATTAAAAATTAACTTAGTCTCTGTGCCCTTTGACCGATGTTGTTATAGCATCTGTGCCTGAGTGTTCCCCCTCCCGCCTCGCTGCCCGGTGGTGGGGCCAGGAGGTGGGGGTGTTCAGTTCTCCCCACATAGCCTGTCCTTCTCCGCGGTCACCTTTTGCAGAAGGGAGGCTGGCAGTATCGCAGGGTCCTGCAACAAAATTAAGTTAATCTCCAAGCGGTGATGGGCCTCCTCTGCTGCTGCTGACAAAGCAGGCCTCTGTCTGCCTCTCCTCAGACACACGTGTCCTGGATTTTGTGCTCCACATACCGGTCTTGCTGTCATCGTTCTTGCTGGGAGAAGGACAGGCCTGAGAGATAGAGGTGGTGGAGGGTGCAGGAAGCCATCCCATGGTGCTGGTTTAGCCTGTGTGGGCTCGTCCCGTTCCGCCCCCACGGAGAACCCCGGGGTCCTGGATCAGTTGATGTCTTCCAGGAGTTAGTTCTCCTTTCACATCCTGGGGCTGATGCCACAAAAGGCCCAGGATCAACTACACAGAAGCTGACCAGGCCACGTTGGCAACCAGGTTTTCATGGCATTAGTGCCTCAAAGCAGCAAACTGATAGATGTGCATGAATAATCCTGCATGTCTTTACAGGTTGGGAAGTGAGAGGCTGGGAGAAATGCCACTCTGCAAGTTGATGGTACAGTCTCTTATGAAATCCTCTGCAGAGCTGGCACCAATTTGGAGAATGACAGGGAAAATTTGGAGGCATGATTGTTGGAAAGGATTGGGCAGGATTGTTGGAAAGACTGGGTGTGGGTCCTTGGGGAGGAAAGTTCAAATGGTGAAAGCAGTTAGGGTGGCGAGGAAAAGGAGGAAACAGTTGCGGGCTAGCAGTGGAATTTAAAAGTTGCAAACTTCAAGTATAAAGCCTTTGCAAGTGTTGCTGCAGGATGTTAAGGCTCAAAAGTTGACCAACTTCAAAAGGCAAATGGTCGGCTCTGACTGCCACAGTTCGCAGGCAGCACTGGCTGGCAAGGCTTGGTACCGAAGCCAGCCCTTCACCACCGACCGGCCCACGGATATGCTCAGTTGTGATAGCTCCAAGCTCATCTGCTGCCAAACCTGACCCATCTCAAATTTTGTTGTGCTGCTGCTTCTACTGAATGGCAGTGTTGCTAGTTTTGTGACTGTGCAATTTCAGGAGGTAGGGTTTGGGGGAGTTTCATTAACGTAGTGAACAAAAGTAAGTTTAGTTTCTTAAGGATAGCAGAAGAATTGGAAAATCTGTAATGTTTCACTATGTGGAGCCCTAAAGTATCTTAAAAGATCAAAGCAAAACCCTAAAAACCTAGTTCTCTTGTGGCTTGAAAACTGTACTTTGAATTACTTTATGACTAGGAGCTACAGAAGAGGTCTATCTCCCTGTGGCAAGAGGAGAATGATGCATAATGCTGTAATGCACAGTTGGGTTTGTTGGTTTTTTTTTTTTATAAACGTTGGAGATGGTATGCCTTTAACAAATAGCTAGGAGTAGAAGAGCCCTGAAAGCAATCTTTTACTCCTGTCACCTCGGGTATGTCTTCTTCCACACCAGCTCTTCTTAACTTGTTTGCCTACTTAATTATCTTAGGTAACTATTGTAAAGATCCTAACAGCTCTGCAAATCTCTCTTTTCCTGACTATTCAAAGTAGTGTGGACACAGTTGGAAATAGGCAGCACAGGGCTACTTAGCGCTAGGAAGCAAATCAGCCAGTTCTGGGAGTTGTCCCTCCAGCTTGAAAGTAAGGAGGATTGCACCTGGGACCGGACATATTAAGGTAAGAAGCCCAATGCCTTGTACAGGAGGTTATTATCTAGCTTAGTTCTTGGCTAGGTTGAAGAGTAGAAAAACACTTGTATCCCCCACAACAGACATTCATCATCGCCTAGGGACCTGGCTGCCTCAATGTTCTGGTTAGACTGCCAGGCTCCAGTTTGCGATGCTATTAAGAGGAGATGTGTTCCTGGTGAAGCTAGTAAGCAAGCCAGCTGGATGGGAAAACTTATGTCTTAGTTACCCTCTCCAAGTACAGTCTTAAGTGTTGGTGCCTGCCAGGATTAACGGCCCGGGGGAACGTGTCTCCTGCAGAGGAAAGGAGGGGAGTGTGCAGTTTGAAGGAAGCCACATTTGTGCTGTCCCTGCTCAAATGCTTGCCCCTTCTCTGAGATACCATTAAAGGCCACAGCAGTCTTTGGGTTACAGCTGTTCTGTGACAGCAAGCTGGCATATGATTTGTGGTAGGAGAGCTGCTCTAACGCGAGCAAGACTTGTTGAATAAACTTGCTGTCATTAACCAAGGGTAAAAATCTGCTAACGGAGAGCCTTTGCTTGCTTCGTGATGCAGCTGTTGTGTAGTGCATCTGCACTGGAACAGAACCAGCTCATAGCTGATGGCTCCACCTGGGGGGACTGGAAATGGGAATGCTGTGTGTTTTGATATTTGGTGCAAGTACAGATGAGGAACTATTACAGGACCTTTCCCTGGCTAATTTGGAGGATCTACTTTTGGGTGCTGCAGACTTTATGGACTCTTACCTGAGGAATTAACTGAATAAAAAGTGACTGAGATGGTGCTAACCTGACTGTGCAGTAAGAGCTCCTTTGGTGCAATGGCTGCTATATAAATGGGATTTTTAAGATCAGCCTGTAACATGGCTGGCTGAGACTGTATTTCTGTGCTGCTTTCGCATCTCCGTAGCATCTTGCTGTGCACTGTGCAGCGATGGGCTTAGCACAGCCTCTAGTTATGGCATCCCTTGAAGTTAGAGCAGTAGTGTTGTCTTCAGCCACAGAGTTCAGACTCATGCTCTCTTCTGGTAGTTAGAGGGTGACCACTGCTTGATGGGAAGACTAGCCAGTTATAACAAGGCCCAGATACCAGTTTAGCTCCAGAGTTAACCTAAATATTTAATAGGATTAAGCAAAAGCCTTTGATTGAAACAAAAGAACATACTGGGCTCCAGTGACCCTCAGTACACCCAGGCTGGCAGCAGGGAACCCTG